AAAAAAGAGGAAGCACAACCAAATATCAGATTCAAACAACAACGAAGAATTACAAATTATGGAAATTGCAGATGACAATAAAAAAAGCATGCCGGAATCTTCTCGACAAAAGAAACCAAAAAAAGACAGGTCAGATTTAATTGTTTCAAAAGGTACGTAACAACAAAATCTATGCCGTCTTTAAAATTTATATTTAAATTTTATCATTACAATACTAACTTTTCAAAAAATGCAGACTATATTTGTGACAAAGAAGATGACAAGATTATAGAATCAATTAGAAAATCAAAGGACAAAAGGATAGTGGTGAGAATTGGGGAAGACATATTCATTAATTTCTTCATATTTAAATGTTTACTGAACCCTACCGCGCACTTGTATGATGACGTAAGTTCAAAAAAATTATCTAATTCACCTTATGCATAACTAATAATAAAAAGTAGCATGCTTAAGTACTACTCTTATCAATGCAGGTCATGGTCTCATGGATGCATACATCAGCCTCATTAGAGCCGAAAAACAACTATTGTGCACGGAAGGAACAACTATTTACATAGACTACACTTGGAACAGCCATCCTCCATCGTGATGGGGAGCATTGGGAAGAAAATAAACCAAGTACCAGAGATGACAAGATTGTAGAAAGGATGAAACAATAAACAAGCCATGATCTGGTAACTACAAAATCCCTATATGTACAATCATCAAATTGCAAATATTACTGATTTCTAACAATATTAAAATATAATTCTATATACAGGTATTTATCCCTATTTAATATTAAGAAATGTCACTGGTACCTTGGAGTTATAAATGCCAAAAAGAAGCTTATACAGGTTCTAGACTCCCTTGGATCAATGAATAGAAGAGACCTAACTTATGTTGTAAGTATTTGAAACACTGGTCATTTCAAAATAAACCATAATAATCATTATAAAGGAATCATTTAATCAACCCAAACATTGATTCAAATACAATCAATAGATAAAAGGAGTGCAGGGCCCGATTGAAATAGCATCGCGTATAATAAAATTTGAAGACTGCAAATGAGAGCACCTAAATGTTGCATCATGGAGAACTGTTGAAATATTCAAAACAGCAACACAAGAAGACAGGTAAAGTGTTATATTAAATTACTACAAATTTGCTTCTGTACATTATTTTTTTTTAAAAAAATCTGACCACAAAATTATATTCCTGCAGTTCCTCTTGTGGTCTGTTCGTATTAAACTACATGGAATATTAGACGGGTGAACAACTGACAGACTCCGTTACTCAGGTAAATAACAAAAAATATATATCATAGCATTATTATATAGATAATTTAAAAAAAATGAGCTATACATCTTCGCAGCAAGACATGGAAAACTTTAGATTAAAGTTAGCGGCAATACTATTGGATTCTCCATTTAACACGTGCAAATACGAGGAAGAAGAAGACGAAGAAGAAGAAGCAGGAGGAGGAGATCCAAATGACTGTGGAGGAGGAGATCCAAATGACTGTGTTATAATAGATAAAACTGGGCATATAACACGTGCAAATACGAAGAAGAAGAAGACCTGGAAAGCATATTTCAAAATTGCCCTAAAGATGAAACTAATGCATCCTATTGGATACTGGTGCCTTTTCATTACAACGAAGAATACAGCCTATATTCGTTTGATATGAAACAAAGAATAATAACAGTTATGGTTCCAGGAGCAAAAAAAATAGAACCCATCAAACAAATGCATAGAATACAAAAAACAGGAAAAAAATTTGATAGAGCCATGGAATTGTTAGATGACAATTGGAACGACGATGTTTATGATTAGAAAAGATTTTATCCAGGCTATGTTCCAAAAACAACAGACATGTAAGTCTATTCTAAAAGATAAATAATAGTACCAAATATTTTACAATTAACGACTCAAAATTCCTTACATGTTACTAACCTATATCATGTGTACAGGAAATCAACGGGATATTTGATACTAAACTTCATGCAAGAGTGGAATGGTCAAGGATTTCAAACAAAGATCTGCATGGTAAGCAAGTATATAATGCCAACAAAATATTATTGTTGTTTTACTCAAAAATATTTATGATATCAATTTATTAACAGGATTCAGAAATACTAAGGATGAAGTTCCTCATCGATATCCTCAAATACGAATGGAATGAATGCACAGAGAACATCAACGGATATATTAGAGATTTACTTGAGATGTTGACATAAGCAATAAAAAATAATGCCATTCTTATTTGCTGTTTGACAGCTCTATTGAACTCAGCCAATGTCGAAAAATGCAAGCATAGTGTACCAGTGTACAGTGATTTTTGGATTGTTTTGGATAATTGAATAGTATTCTGTGAGAGAGAATAAGCTGAAACAAGCTGGAAGTGTACCAGCCGAACGCAGTGAAAATGTGAAACAAGAGCATCTTGACTACAGCTACCAAAAACCTAGCTGTGCCACTCAGTAGGCTCTGCCGCTCAGTAATGGGTACTACGCAGTCAGGCTACACGAGATTCAGATGATGGAATGGAACCTGGAGAGCAGCAGCCAAACTGAAACCATACACCCAATGCCGCAGCAAAGCGAAATCCGGAGCTCCTGGCCCAAACAAATCCAGGGCGGCCATAGAAGGAAGCCGCGCAGCAAACAAGAAACATGAGAAGGACATAAGGGAAGGCAGAAATGCGATCAGAGACAAGGCAAGATTCAGTGTATCGCCCACCATCATTCGCGTCGGTGGCCTTGGCGACCAAGATTTGCCACAGGGTCCAAGCGACGAAGCACATGAGGACGAGCAGCCAAGCGGCCCAGGCCGCCCTCGCCATTGCTCCCCCACCAAGCCTCCTCCCTCTTCCTCAGGTCATCTCTAAAAATGGTAACAATAGACTGTATCAATGAAATTTTTGAAAACACGACTGAATCCCTGATTTTTTTACAAAAATAAATAAATAAATAAATGTTTTGCCTGTGATTTCAAACGGTTTCATTGACATTTAACTGAAATTACCTGAACTAACCAAGAAATAGAGCGCGACAACGAGATGCGAGACATAGCCGCCCTTGTCAACTCCCAGCCGAGAAGGAGGTCCAACCCTGGCGGACTCCGGACGGCGCGGCCAGCAACGACAACCTGCCCCGCGGCAAGGCCCTGCACCGACGACAAGCAGGCATCGCGTCCCAGACACGGCGGCCAGCAGGCAGCGCGGACATACCAGTCGCAGCCCTGCCCCGGCGTCCTGCGGGCGGATCCAACAGCTCCGGCAGCAAGCCCTGGGCGGCACGGACAGCCCCGGTGAAGGTGCTCTGCCCGGCTCCCCTTCTTCCCCGCCTGGGCGGCGCGGACATCGCCGGCGGCGGTGATCTGCCCGGCAGATATTCTAACCCGGCATCTACGGCAAGAAATCATGGTGGGTTGGAGGATTCGAGCTGGGGCGGAGTACAGGAAAATGTCGATGAGGGGAGCTGGAGAGAAATGGGGAATAAAATTGTGATGCGCCACTAAAGATAAATTGGATGACGAAAGGAACAATTCTGGACAACTGGGCCTTGACAACGTTAGCCTGCTAGCTGCTACCGGTTGGTCTGTGGGCTTTTGGGCCAATTAAAATTAAAAAATAAAAGTCCCGTTCAGCTATGGATGAGCAGCGGCTGCATCAGATGCGCAACAGTTCCCAGCTGAAACAATTTCAGCACAAGCAAATCTATAGATCACTTGATGAACAAAAAACTAACGGCTTCCACTAAAAAATATATACACTAACGGCAAGGACAGTAGAACTGGGGAAAATCATAAAGGAATAAAAAAACCTGAACGATATGGAATGTTTCAAAAAAAAACACATACAAATAGAAACGAAAAAAAATACGTGCACTACCGGAAGGCACATGGCAAAGACAAAACAAACAATCGGCAAAGGCTTTGCCGAGTGTAACACTCGCAAACAGCACACGGCATCTATAGTGACGGCAAACGTCTCTTTGCCGAGTGTTTTCTATCGGGCACTCGGCAAATACTTTGCCGAGAGCTGAAACCGACCTCGGCGAAAAAAAGTAACGCGACGGCGCGGAGACGGTCACGGCGCGTTTGCTGAGTGTCCCGGACCTGACACTCGGCAAACCTAAATTCTTTGCATTCGGCTAACATGCCTTCTTTACCGAGTGTCAAAATCACGTGACCTTTGAAATTCACCTAAATAATTATCTAATTAATGCTGTTGGGTGATCTTGGAGAGGTGTTCAGTGGTTTAGTTGGTGAGGTCATCAACATTCAATAACCATATGTCTCACGGATCAAAGTTGAAGAGAACTGAGACATGTAAATCTATATGATTAGTTAAAAAAAAAGATATTTCTTTGTAAAATATATCTAGAGTTATGGACTGGGTACTATATTACATCTACCAAATACTTATTGCGCACAGCAATGAATAAATGGAAATCGTGATGTGGCTTCGATTATGAGTGCATATTTTGTTATGTCATTCCGGACCATTGCTTAGATCATGAAATTTATACGACGTATGAATTGTGTTCTCAAAAAATTAATTGCTATTCATCAATGAAATATTTTTTATAATGCATGTATATTATCATATATAAATATATGTGATATAGGAGTTCAATTATTAAACATTTGATTTTTTTTTGTACTCATCCATCTTGATATTTTTATAGACACGTGCGTGTCACACGTGCATATCTACTAGTTTTAGTGGAAAGGAACAAATAGATAGATAAAGTAAATGCTCCGATGCTTGTACTACTCATATATAGATAGATAATGTGAACACTATAATGCTCGTACTCATACGCCATCAGTTAATGATGAGTCGAAGTCGAGGTTTGTACCGATGCATAAATGCATTTTGTCAATTCTCACGTTTGAAAACACTGCGAACAGCTTCCAGTCTTCTTCCGTAATATTGGCTTTGTCAGGTGCAAATCCATCCCAGCATCAATAGCCTTCTGCAGATCCTCCGCCGTGTCATGCGTGGTCACTGGTCAGTGCGATGAGATCGGAGTGTGAATTCCGTGGCGTCGTTCTTCCCCGCGGATGAGTTTCGTCGCTTCATAGCCATCCATATTGGGCATCTAAAATCAAAGAAGAAATACTACAAGTGTCAGGCAATCATCAGACGGAACGAGCTTTGTGTGTGTGTGAGTTAACAAGTTTTGGTTGAACAAACCTGGCAATCCATGAAGATGACATGGTAGGGCAAGGGCACTATATCCTCTTCTGAAACATTAGCTTGCTCAAGAGCTTCTCTGAGCAAGTTCACAGCCACGGCTCCATCTTGAGCTACTGTGACAGTTGCTCCAAGCTGGTTCAGGATTTTCCTCTGGATTGTTTGCAGCACTACAGTGTCTTCAGCCAGCAAGATTTGCATCCCGGCTAGCGGCTTATCATCATCTTCAGGCTTCTGCTTCTGAGCCAAGCATGAAGCTTCAGTCGATGCAGCAGCTTCCTGCACACAAGGAACAACAACATCTGGCAAATCTTGCTGCTGGCTGTTGTTCCCAGCAATCTCAGGACCAACTTGAGAAGACTGCGCTTGTTGTGCATCTGAAACTTGGAGGTCTCTCAGGGTCATAAGGAGAGTGAACAGGCGAGACCCATGCACTGGCTTTCGCAGAACAAGATTGCAACCCAGCTCCTTGAGCCTCCTCAGATCATTGGAAGGGGTCTTGATATCCTCCAGCAGAACAACTTTGCTTGGGGCCTGATGCTCGATCCTGGCAAGTTTGGCCATCTCCTGGCAAATTTCTTCCAGTCCACCACCGGACACGTCGATGACAATAAGGATACCAGAAGGAATCCGCCCAGGGATGGCTCTCCTGGGACCAGTGTTGTTCCTCAACTGGATCATCATCTCCTTGGAGCTGAAGCACCAGTCGGCTCCGCCGCAGTCAGCAGCAGCAGTACCTCGCTTATCTTCAGGAGCACATTGAACGCGAAGCATGTTCCCCTTTCCCCGGGCCCTTTGTCCTTGATGCTAATCTCTCCTCCCATCAGACGTACCTGTGATCAAGATCAACATAGATCATCCAGTTAAAACCAAAGTTTGATAAAGAAAATGAATACAGCAGATACATATGTGTATATAGTATATTGGAGTAGCAACTTACAAAGGATTGCACGATTCCGAGCCCCAAGCCTGTGCCACCATGGCCATTGTTCACCTGAACATAGTTTTCAAACACAGACATCCTCTTCTCCTTGGGGATCCCAATGCCGGTGTCAACCACTTCAAAGTAAAACTCAACCAAATTGGGGTCATTCTGCACATGATCCTGGTCACCAGGATCCTCACTTGCTCCGAACAAACATCCCAAGGAACCGCCGCCACTGTGCCATGGGTGCGCAAACCTTGATGGAGCATTGACGCTGCTCCCGGCGATCTGCCGGGTTGCCCAGCCCCGGAGGACGACGTGGCCTTCGTCGGTGAACTTGAGGGCGTTGCCGAGCAGGTTGTCCAGGATCTGCTTGAGGCGTTTGCTGTCACCGAGGACGGCCGCACATCTCTGGACCGAGAAGTCGTAGGGGTCCCAGACCACCTCAACCCCCCGCCGGACGCCGTCCACGTTTGCCATGTCCACCGACTCCTGGAGGACATCTGCCATGCTGAACTCAGCTTCCTCCAGCTGCATCTTCCCCGACTGCAGAAAACAAATCGATCACATCCATGAACATAACCTACTAGGTTCGAATTAATATTGTTCTACAAATAATATATCTCCTGAAACAAAATTGCTACGACGATCACAGTAATAACATTTACTTACATTTTAATAAGTTAATATGTGTTTGACAGATAATCTGTAGTCTGTTTGCTGATGAAACACCTACAAACTGCGTCCCACCTTTCCTAGTAGAACGTTTTAATTGCTAACCTATATTAGCAGCATTAATCCTTTCTATTGTAGCTAAGAAAATACAGTAGATCACAAACCCTACATTTTTGCTTGTATTAACTGGTGGATTAGTAGACCATATATAACATTGAAAACATCATATTAGTCGCACCAATATTGCTACTTTCCTAGCTAGACGACGATGAACAAAGCTTGATGGAAATTATTAACTCCAAAAGAATCCAGGGTCCAGACTAACCGAACAGCTTGTTGGTGTTGACGCCCATCTGATCGAGGTTCTCCATGATGCCGGGGAGCGACTGCGACTCCGAACGGAACATGTCCACGAGGCCGGCGATGGCGGACAGCGCGGACCGGATGTCGTGGCTGGAGCTGGCGAAGGCATTGCTCTTGTTCATGCTGTTGCGCTCCGCCAGCCGCAGCGCTTCCTTCTGCCGGACCATGTCGGCGTTCAGCGCCATCTCCCGCGCCGCCGCCCGCCGCAGCGCCCGCACAGCAGCAGGACGCAGACGCACGCGAAGACGATCACGGGGATGCAGATGCACATCGTCTGGTGCATGTGGCTCCTCTTCGGTTCCTGTGGCTACATTTGTAGCCTGAGTGCTTGGGCTGCCACTAAGCCCCAAAACAAACTTGTACAAATAGTTCTTCAAAACTACACAAAAAGCTACTTGTTATGTTATTATTAACGACTAAATTAACTAACAATAATAAAAAGTGAAATTTTACGGTTCTTGGAAAAAAGGAGAGCCATCCATTTGGATTGATCGGATGGCTATAAAATAAGAAAAACCAATATAAAGGAACTTAAGTTGTGAGATGAAACTTAAAATATATAGGTCAGGAACTAAAAATATATGAATAAGGAATTATTTCCAAAATAAATTTAAAGGGTGGTATAGTACTTTGTTGCCCCTATCTCCCTGTCCGAGGCTTCTACCTCTATCTCCTCTCATTCTCCGCAGCACCCTCTCGCGGCGCGCACGTCCCCGGTCCCGGTGGGAGGGCCCGGCAACTCACTCCCTCTCTAGCACAGCGGCACGACGAGGCGCTTGCACTGGGGATTCTTGGCGGCCGCGACGGCAAGCAAATTTGAGCGGCAGCGGCCGCACGCCAGCGGGGCTCGCCGCGGGAACGACCATCGACCATGTACTGCATCCGCGGCGACAGCCTGATGCGCGGGCTGGGACACAGCGACTGGATGGGCGCCTTGCCCGCCCACGGCGACTGCGGCGGGCACAGGCACGGGCACGGCGGCGCCGGCTGGTTGGGCGACATGTTCACCTACTCCAGCGCCCAGCTCTGCAGCTCTGCAGGGTAGTCCCGGACGCAGTCGATGCGCGCGCCAGCGCTGCTCGTCCACTTGGCCGCCACTGCGCGGCTGCCGATCTCGTTGCTATCCACGGCGCCTGCCATATCCTCCTCCGCATCCTCCTCCTTGGCGGCCATGCTCTGCTGCTTCCGCTTCAACGACGAGTATTGGTCGTCGTCCACCGAGCACCTCTTAACGTCGGTGAGATCCACCTTGCTGCAAGAAGGCGATAAACTCGTTGAAGTTCTCCTCAGTGGGGAGGTAGTGGCTGCTGTAGGACCAGATGGCCTTGAGGACGCCGTCCTTGGCGATGAGCAGGCAGCAGCGAGTGCCGTGGAATTGGGTAGATTAGAGATTGTGTATTTGTGTACAAGTAGAAAAAATACTAAACTGTCCCTTAAGTATAATTAATTAATTTTCTTAACTAACAGCTATGGTAAATAATTTTCGTGGGAGGAACCGGTGGTTCTTCCTAAGCACCGTAACAAAGCTCTAGAAAAAAAAGGCAATATTCAAATCGTACCGCTGCTGCACGAGGTCTGGCACTTCGACCGTCCAAGGCTCCAATTCAAGCGCCGGGGATTCGATTGGTAGTGTCGCCAGCTCACTGCCCGCCGTCGCCGAGGGTTTCACCGTGGGAGGTGTGTGAGTGCCGGCTGCCGCCAAAGCGCGAGTGCTATAGCGTGACGAGCGTCGGCTGACTACATATTGGGCTGCTGGCCCATAAGACAGCCCAACGATATCAGCCCACCACACATCTTAAGCAAGCCAAGCCCAATGGACAGATGCAGAGGAATCCGCCGGCGGGAGCTTTGCTTTGCTTCTGCCCTCGGAGGAACTCGTTATCGCCCTAGATTCGCCTCCCTCGCTTGACAAATTTCCCTCCTCTTGTGCCGATTGGATTGGTGAATCGCGATCGTGACCTTTTCTTTTCCTCGGGGCGCCGGACGTTCGGACTCCCGCGCCTACACTCCGTATCTCCCCACGCACTTACATCCCGCGCCCACCTACGTAGGCCTGCACCGCCTGGTTGCATGTGGGGAATCCCCGTTCGCACCCCTCCACTTCTCATGCACATGCACACGCCCAAGCAGCTGCAGCGAGTGACTACAGCAGGTGGCTACGCCAGCATCCAGAAAAGGGGGAGAGGGTGGTGGAGGACTAGCCGGCACCGGGAGGAGACACCAAGGTGAAGGTGAGGCAGCAGAAAAGTGAAAACAGAGATGCAATACCCGATCTATTTTTGAAACATACGAATACAAGACTTGCAACATACGTCTGAAGACAGATGAAACACATAAAACATGCATCTGAAACACTAGCTGCAACACCAGATCTACTTTTGAAACATCTAAATAAAACGCTTGCAACATACATATGAAACAGCTGAAACACTTGAAACATACATGAAATACTTGAAAAACACCTGAAAAACACTTCATATAACATATGCAACATCTAGATGAAACACTTGCAAACATACGTCTAGAAAACGAGATGAAACATTTGGAACATACACTTGAAACATACGTGTATAGCCACTACAACATGTGCAACATTCCGATCTACTTTTACGACATCAAGATAAAACACTTGCAACATCCAAATGAAATACCTGAAACACTTAAAACATACTCTTGCAACATGGGCTTTGCTTAGACGAATGGAGGCACGCCGGCTGCACATGGACCTCGCTGTGCAGCAGTGGCACGGGCAACTCGCGCGGTGGGCATGGTGTCACATGAATCTCATCCCCCTCGCCGGCTTGCTAGAGAACCTGTCGTGGAGGCTCGCCAGCTCGGTGGAGGCGGCCGTGGCTCGCCAGCTCGATGGAGGCGGTCGCGGCGAGCAGGCCGGCCGCGGTGAGGAGGCAGCACAGTGGAGGCGGACGAGGTAGAATGGGCCCGGTGGTGGGGAATATGGCGCGGAGGAGGCAGCGCAAAGGAGGCCGCAGGGGATGGGATGCAGCGTGGCAGGGACCAAAAGCGGCGAGGCGGAGTGGGGTGGGCGGATGGGCATGGCGATGTAGGGAGCAAACGACACAACGAGCATCGGGACGTGCGGACGGAATGAGTGGATAGAGTCGCTAGTCGAGCGGCACATGCGACAGTGAGGTAGGGAGGCATCCGTCCGTCTGGATGTCTTAATTATATCATTATCGTTTTCTCTGTCGTGGTCGCTGATATATACTCGGCCGATTCCTACTCGTTTTGTAGCTATGGCACTTTGCTTTAATACAGGGCCATCAAACTAGGACGGAAATTACAGTCGTTTCCGATCGAGGCCGCCCTCCAATATCCGTCAAGTTCCACCTCGTTCACAGGATTTCCAATCCAAACGAAAAATGTAGAAACCGGCACGTATGGAATCAGCAACGTCTTAGACTCTTAGGTTGGCAGAAAACTTGATCGAATGAAAAAAGGGCTTTTTAAATTTTTGTACCACCCTCTCGTTTGTCACACATTCAAGTAGCCCCCTCCCAAAATCTCCTATAAATCGATTTGCTATATCGTAGAGAGAATTTTTTATAACTTTGCCAAAACCAGCTTGTGTGGCCTCCCTGTCGTCTTCCCTTTTCTCCTTGTGCCGCGCGCTCTTCGTCTTTCCTACAGCTACACCACCACCAGAGCCTTTCTCTTCTTCCTCCGCCCTTCCTGCTCATCTCCGGCGATGACAACGCTGAGCCAAAGCCACGACGGGCAGACTACTGTCAACCCGCCTTGGCTGAGCTGTCCGCATGTCCACCCTTGGAACGCTGCAGCATCACAACGTCGATGTCGCGTCAGAGCCGCTGCGCCACGCCATCCTCCTCGCGCCGAGCCACTGCCCCGCGGTGCGAAGACGGGCGCATCGTGGCGCCCGCCAGGCCATGACGGCACTCGTTGTCCTCGAACTCGTCGTCGCGCCATCCATGAGTCACCGCCGTTATCCGCCTCGCCGAGCTCCATCGCGAACGCAATGACAGCTGACATACATCTTCGCATTCGCCACCGGCTGGATCTGGTTCAGAGACCTTAGCCCAAGGACTCATGTGTTGACGATTAAAATATCACACATTTACATACCCAAAATACCATCAACAGGCCTCGGAAAAAAGGAAGATGAACATATTTTATTAAATAACAAGTTTCACATATGATGGAGGAAATGAAGCCAAGTGGGCCCATACTAAGGGGTCGCCCAACCACCCGGGTCTCATTATCATCTCAATCCTTCGAAGAGCCGAGAAACACTCTTTCAAGCAATATCAACCATTGAATCAAGTTTGTGTTTTCTCTGGATGGCTCAAGATTAAAGCACATGGATCCAAGGGCTTACAATTGAAAGTCATGAATTCGAAGAATTAAGTGGCCCCACCAAAACTATTGTTAAGGACAGTTTTCGAGAAATCTGTCTTTCTAGTTTGGAGAAGAGCTATAAAGTCTAGCTTTTGCTCTCTTGATAAATCGGATAGGATCCTATACTTAGCCAAGTCACTCAGACCTCTGCAATTCCAAAAGATTCCTTTCATCACGAAACACTTTTATATTTTTTTAATTACCTGCACTTTTAGCTTCTTCTTTGATCTAGTCAAAGATGAAAAATCATTTTTCTTAAAGACAGTTTTGAAACCAAAGCTTAGGTGATCACTGTCCTCATCCATAATTTCCTGTAACAAATCACCACATAAGTGGCTAAGAGTAACATTTTCAATCTTGTCATGATCCTCGTCACTTAAAATTTCAGAATTAAACCTCCGTACTTGACGTTTCAGGTCTAATCCTTACAGTTTCCTTTTCTTTTAAAAGACAAACCGAATCAGCAACCATACTAGAATTACTACCCAAGCTAACACCAAGGTTTGAAACGCTAGAGGCTATATCAACCGTAGAAAAGTGAATGAGTGTCAAAAAAAAAACAGTAGGAAAGTGAATGAAAGAAAGGGCAGAAGAATTACCTCCACTGAAGTCCAAGCTCTTCCACGCCACCCTCTTCTTCGATTTCTGCATAGAGTCAACGTCGTTGAACTTAGCCAACTGTGAACTCGCCCGCTTCGGTGTCTTCCGTATCTCCTCAATAGCAGCAGCCGCCATCACAGCAGCCACCTCACTAGGCTTAACTCCCTTGCCAAATTCTCCTGCTGCGCCCACCTTTCCATAGCAACAACAC